GTGGCATGAAACTCGCCAGGAGACCTCAGGCCAGTCACCTTACCCACTTTACATGGTTCTTGTGACTGTAAAACTTCTGGGGGGAAAGCAGAAGTAATGTCATGTCACTCTAGGAGTCACTGTAAACTATGTGGTAAAACCATAGAGTTTCTGGCGACTCCTAGAGCAACATAACATCACTTCTGTGTTTTCCCCAGAAGTGACATAGCACCATCAACTGGCAGTGATTTTAATTTTTTCCCCCTTCCTATTGCTGGCACACAATGAGAGCGGGCAAATGGCAAACTTAATGGGGACAGAACCAGTGTTAGTTGGCTCCAGCTCTGTCCTCTGCTCCAACAGCCCCAGTGGGTACCAGCCAACACTGATTTAAGGTTGCATTGTTTATTAAGTTTATTAACATCAAGAACTAGGGCTGCCAAGTGGGGGTGGGGGGCAAGTAAACCCCCGCTTTGGAGGCCCGATTTCCGCTGCCGTGGAATCGGGCCCCAGGGGGAACTCCGCCCCCTGAAGCGCAACAGCGTGGCTGCGTCACCAGAGGTGACACAACCACGTTGATCACGTTGGGGGCGTGGCCCCGATCGTCGGAGGGAAAACTATGGTTTTCCCTCCGACGATCCGGGCCACGCCCCCAACGTGGTTGACGTCGCACGTGCTATGCACGGGTGCATCCGAGGACGGCTCCCGGAGCCCGGTGAGGCTCCCCTGCCGGTAAGTTTTTTTGACTTGGCAACCCTATCAAGAACTGCCAGAAAGGGGAACACAGCAAAAGGGAATGATATTGAATCTCTGGCTCACTTTTAGTTTGTGTTTATTTATTGTGTATTTGGAGCCAAACTAGTCAAGATGGCAGGAGATCTGAGATCAAATCTGCAGGTTTTGTTGTTGTTGTTTTATTAAGTTTAAAGCAGCCATGGAGGGGCCTGAACTGGTTGTAGAAACTGCCAGGGATGGTGATATTTAGCCTGTTTTCTCTGGTTTAAATTGCCCTTGAAGGCAACTGTTCTACAGGGTTTTCCAAAGGTTCAAGACCTTTTTTTCTAACCTGATATGTGCCCCTCCATTGAATGTTTTAAGTATTGCAGGAGATCCCATGATGCGTGTCCTGCTTTCTCACCTTGTTTGGTCTCTGCTGTTTTTATCATCAGATTTTATGGTGCTGCTTTATAATGTTAATGTATTAGGTTGCCTTTTGCACACTGCCTTGAGCTACTACAATGAGGTGACATAATTAAAAAAAATAATCTGGAGTACAATTTTTTTACAGCAATAGCTTTTTGCAAGAACACACACTGGAATGACAATCTGGAAAATACTGTACAGCAGCAAGTAAAATAGCCCAACAGAGAGGAAGTACATATGGATTCAACAAACCAGAACGGAGACACAAGTAAAATGTGATGTGGATTCTGGTTGTGTGTGTAGCACCAAACCCTCTGGGTGTAGTTATGGATCCCATTTCTAACCCTTGAGTTATTTTTCCATGCAGCAGCATTAAAAAACCCAAGCTTCACATACAGCAGGGGGCACTTAAATATACCTGGACAAGCAGGAACTTACAAGGACTTGCGGGGAGAATTTCCCTTCCTTGAAAGACCCCTTTTCCCTTTCCTTGAAAGACCCCTTATTTCATTCTTCTCTCCTCCATTTTATCCTCAGAACAACCCTGTGAGCAGGGGCAGAAAAGGGGCAGAAAAGGCAGTCTGTCTGACCTAGGGATACCATTCCCCAGGTGGAGGTGGGAGATCCCCCACTTTTGTGGGCTTCTGCCCGCCACTGGCCAGCTGGCTGGTGGGAGAAAATTCCCCTCACTCTGATGCTGTGCCTGATATGCTGACATCACTTGGAAGTGATGTCAGTGCGTCGGTGACATCGGGGGTCATTCTCTACTTTTTGGGCAAAACTTTATGGTTTGAGGCCATTTTTACCATAGAATTTTGCCCCCAAAGCAGAGTGTCACCTCTAATGTTGCCAACATGCTGATGTCACTTCTGGGTAACACAGTGTCCCCACCCACCCCCGGAATGCCCCCAAATCCCCTGCCAGCGCAACAAAGGGACCTAGCAACCCTAGTCTGACCCTGACCCTACCTCCCAAAGGGGGGATGGAAGGAAGGAAGGAGAAAGGAGGCAGCCTGCCTAACTAATTGGCCAGGTGCTGTTTCCTCAGCTCAGGCAGGCCTCAGGTGTGGCAGTGTTGCTTCCCTTGTCTCACATAGACTGGGCCTTGCCTCCCTCACCTTGAACGGGGCAGTTGCGTGCCTCCCTCACTTCACACAGGACTCAGCCTGGTGCCACCCTCTGCCTTGCTTTGCCTCACATGTGGCTCAGCCAGGCCAGGTGATACCAACTGGGGATTCAAGGTCCTAGCTGAAACTCTAACCACTACACCACACTGGTTTTCATGGTGTGGCTGCTGTTGAACAGTAGCAAGCAGCCATAACTAGGTGAGCCATGCAAGTTGTGTAGTATTCCCTGCTGGTGGGCCTCCTGATGGCTCCTGGGTTTTGGCCACTGTGTGACACAGAATGTTGGACTGGGTGGGCCACTGGCCTGATCCAACAGGGCTTCTCTAATGTTCTTACTATCAAGTTGCCTAAATAAGTCTTCCCTCTGAGGCCAAAACATTCCTGAAAAGGGCCCTGTCCCCTCCCTCTGCCTTTTCCTGACAGAAAGCAAGCCTGTTGTGGTTGCCGAGCAACAGCTACTGAGAACATCCCTTTTTAAAGCTACAGGAGCTCGTTTTTATAACTCTCATGTATTTCCCCCCTTTTTTTTGGATTTCAAACCTGAGTGTTTTTCTGAAAACCTGAGTGTTTTTCAGGTTTATAGAAAGATTTGTCTTGGCACATCATGGGTCCAGTCCTCAAATCTGGCCAACTTCATTATTAGAATATACAGGGAACACAGTAGCGATGGTGGGGGGCAGGGAGCCACTCTGGGCCTGGGAGAGTGGGAGAGAACCTAGGAGAAAGGCACAACAGCAGGGCCTGGGCAGGCAGTGATGATGGGAACCATGCCAGGCTCGGGCAGTGGCAACAATTGGGGGCAGGGAGCCCCCACACTCTGCTCACCTGACATTCTACCTACCGTGACTCTTCTGCTCCTGGGCCGGCATCTTCTTAGGGCTGAGTGAGTCAAGGTATTCTGGGCTGGGCCCCTTGCTTGTTTCTGGCTCGAAGGAGGCTTCCTGTAGCCTAGTGGTGATTGCTGCAACTACCAGGAGCCATACTAACTGCAGTGAAGAAGGGGGAGGCTGGCTGGAGCCTGGTGATAGCGGCTGCATTGTCTCATGGCCTGTCTACAGCAGGGGGGCTTTCAGGGTCTGGTTTCACTAGCCTGTCCTCCCACCAGTCCCATCCCAGCTTTCTTGCCAGGGTGCCTCCCACCCACCCCCAGTCCCATCACTGCTGGCTGCCTCATGAAGGCTCATATCAGGCTCTTGCAATTCAGTGTGGCAGCAGCCACTGAGGGCTGCTTGGCATTGGTGGCGTTCTGGCCTCTTGTGATTCAGCTGTGGAAGGCCACCTGACATTCACGGTGCTGCAGCCAGCCCCATGGAACCCACTGGAGTGGGAGAGGATGGGGCAAAGGTGCCTTCACCCCCATACAGCACCACTGTAGCTGGCTCCCTCAGTCACAGTGCCACCACCTCAGAGGCTAGTGCGGACAATAAGCAATTGTGGAGCTCTACGCATGTGCCAAAAGATTGGGGGGGGGGATTTCTCCATCAATTTTCTGTAAATGTTTAGATTTTTCTGCAAATGGGAGTGTCCCCCAAATTTGCAAAAAACAAACAAACCCAAACCCTCTCTTCTCTCCACATGGCCTCAGTTCATGGATTTAAATATCCACAGATGGAGCCAAGTTGAGAATTAGATATATTGATGATATTGATGTTGATATTTATGATAAACACCGAAGCCATTAATGTGTTGCCATTTCCATTGAAGTCTGTACACTTCAGTGCACAAACTCAAGATGGAAAAAAATGTTGTTAGCCACTAAAGTCCTGTTTTGCCACTCTTTTAGTTATTCATACTGATTCAGTATTAAATTTGTATGTAGAATAGATATATTTTAAGAAAATACATTTGGTTTCTGTATGCTTTATTAAATACATCTACATAAAAATAATGCAATTTTATCCCTCTGCTGTGGGCAAGCTTCACTCAGCTTCAGCCCCATTCCTCAAGCATCACCGAAAGGGTGGTGGGGTGGGTGGGTGTCCAGGTATGTAGCCTACAAACCAGGTTGCAATATAAAGAGTGTGTTTGAACCAGACAGGTGATCATTAGTGTATTCAAAATGTGTATAATTACCAGCTGGTGGGCTTATACAACCCTCATGAATGAAACTTAAAGCCCCAGAATGATCATGATTGTTTTATTTTCACAACTGTTTCCATGATACCATCCAGATTACACAACTATCACATGTTAGCTGGCCTGTTCACATGCCCTGAATTATTCTACAGCTACCAATTCATATTACAAGTGCCTTTACAATGCCTCTTACTTACAGCGTATAAACTGTAGCTGTTGTTCTTTGAAATGCATTCGCCACAGCTAAGTTCATTAAAATGTAGCCTTTCTTTAAACTTTGTTGAAGCTTTTGTTCTGGCAGTTGGAAAAACACATTGTTCCCTTAGAAGTAAGAAGATGCACAATATATATTGCATCTAGTGCTGCGTCCTGATGTCTAAGGGCTCAGAAGAACTAGCCCAGATCTGGCCTATGTAATGCTGTTTGTAATGAGAAATCTAAACAGGGAATGGCAGTGAGGCATGACAGGAATGTGTTTCCATTGGAGAAGTCAGTGTAGAGAAAAAGTATAAGCAAAGCCATGTCCAGAAGGCCTTTTCAGCTGGCCAAGACGGAAGACTAATGTTATTGTACATTGGCTGTCACCCTGCCAGCCCTCCCTCACTGATTTGTTTTCTCTTATACTCTCTCTCCCTTTCTTCCCCCCCCCCAACCTCTATGCTGACTGTTTGCTCAGGTGGACAGTGACACCATTTGGAATGAGCTGCATTCGTCCGGTGCTGCACGCATGGCTGTTGGCTGTGTCATCGAATTGGCTTCCAAAGTGGCCTCAGGAGAACTGAAGGTGAGGTCTGGGTTGCATTGTGTGTGGGAAAACCCGGGAAGAAGCTGAAAGCGATGTTGTTGTTCTGGGGTTGAAGGAAGGGGAGTGGAGAAAGGCGAATGGGGAAAATCGTGGGTCACAAAGGTGTGGTAATCTAAATAGCCTTCCCTGGTAGTCAGGAGATGGTTTATTGCTCTCAGAAGCCTTCAAGTTGACCAGAAACAGTTTTCTGTCACTACAATACTGTGGTATTGTTCAAGTTATTTTAATCTAGAGATTAGGTACCTGATGTCCATGTGAAAATGATAGAGAGGGCGTAAAGATCTGGTGTGCTGTTCCAAAGTTGCCCTTTGAGGTGATTTTATTATTGAGTTGTAAACAGAGCCTCAAAATGCCACCCAAAGTGAAGAAAAGTAAATAAGGGACCTGTGGGCTTTGAAGAAAGAATGGGATTGTTGATTAGAAGGGAAATGGTGCAGAGTATGCCTTTCCATCAAACAATCTGAAACTATGAACTCTTCTCTCTTCCCTCCATTTTTGAGTCTCGTCTCTACATGAGCTGAAAAAGGATGAGGTACAAACCCCAAATTATCCCCAGTCTAAACAATTTATAAAATGTACATACTTGACAGATTTTGACATTTTATTTGGTATTTTAACAATTCTATTGAAAGGTAGACCTCCTACAGCCTTGAATGCTCAGTTACCCCAATAAACATTGCTGGAGCTAACATATTGTCAACAAAAATGTTTATTAACTTTTTAGACCAAACAGCAGTGGGTTTCAAGCAAAGCAGAAGTAGAGAGTTCAGATTTGACAACCAATGCTACACTGAACTTTAATTTTAATAGAAATCAAATTATTGGTATGTAACTTTCTGTTATGCTGAAAGTTTCAATCTCTTCTTTTTTATTGGATATTATCAGTGGGTGTTTATGTGTAGTCTTCATGAAGGTTAATGTGAGGGAATTTCCACAGGATAAATGATGATAGCAAATGTATTTCAAAATTCATACAGATCTATTCTTTATTTGGTGACTATTTTTTATATCACATCACCAACCTGCTGTCTTTTTCAAAAGAAAAATTCAAGGTGGTTAACAACAAGCCAACAGAAATTGCCTTGCCTTTTCTCCTGAACAGTGGCTGGTGACAGCTATATTTTCAGAGAAGAGTGGTCAGGTGACTGTTGAACAGGAAGGCTGATGGAAGGAGCCCTGCTTATCCCCCCTCTCCACTTCATCAGAATGGAGATGCATATTTTAAGGCAGGAACTAGAAACCCAAAACACCATCCTGCACCTCTTCCTCTTTCCTAATAATGCAAAACATGTGACATGCCATAACTATGCTGTTCGTTTCTGTGCCCCACAAGCAGCAGCCAATGAAGGATGGGAAAACTTACATCACAGTGATGTGACATCACACATTTTATATTAATAGAAATCACCAGGGGAGAGAGAAGGAGGAGATGAAGGGCTCCCGTTTTTGGCAGCTGCCACACATCTGCTGTAACATCTGGTTCTGATGTAAAATTCAGACCCTGATCTTTTAAATGTGCTTCAAAATTCTCCTTAAATCAAACACATTTGTACTTAAAATACAACTGAAATCCTGAATGCAGAGACCATTTAGAACTCCTGAATGCTATGACTGAGAACAAGTTCAGTTGAGAGGATAGAAAATGTGACTTGGGAAACCTCCTGGTGATGTGGTTGACTTGGACACCATCCATTGAAACCTGAACTGTATTAAACACTGTTTACTTAAATCCCAGCGATTTCAGTGTGACAGGCATATCTAAATTTTTCTCCGTTTTGCCTTTTCTGGCCTTGAGCAAGTCATGACTCACTCAGCTTCAGTTCCCCATCTCTTCTTTTTTATTTGATTTTATCAGTGGGCGTTTATGTGTAGTCTACATGAAGGTTAATGTGAGGGAATTTTTAATTTTTCCACAGGATAAATGATGATAGCAAATGCCAAACAGCAGTGGGTTTCAAGCAAAGCAGAAGTAGAGAGTTCAGATTTGACAACCAATGCTACACTGAACTTTAATTTTAATAGAAATCAAATTATTGGTATGTAACTTTCTGTTATGCTGAAAGTTTCAATCTCTTCTTTTTTATTGGATATTATCAGTGGGTGTTTATGTGTAGTCTTCATGAAGGTTAATGTGAGGGAATTTCCACAGGATAAATGATGATAGCAAATGTATTTCAAAATTCATACAGATCTATTCTTTATTTGGTGACTATTTTTTATATCACATCACCAACCTGCCGTCTTTTTCGAAAGAAAAATTCAAGGTGGTTAACAAATACAAAACTGGTAAAAAAAACAAGCCAACAGAGATTGCCTTGCTATTTCTCCTGAACAGTGGCTGGTGACAGCTATATTTTCAGAGAAGAGTGGTCAGGTGACTGTTGAACAGGAAGGCTGATGGAAGGAGCCCTGCTTATCCCCCCTCTCCACTTCATCAGAATGGAGATGCATATTTTAAGGCAGGAACTAGAAACCCAAAACACCATCCTGCACCTCTTCCTCTTTCCTAATAATGCAAAACATGTGACATGCCATAACTATGCTGTTCGTTTCTGTGCCCCACAAGCAGCAGCCAATGAAGGATGGGAAAACTTACATCACAGTGATGTGACATCACACATTTTATATTAATAGAAATCACCAGGGGAGAGAGAAGGAGGAGATGAAGGGCTCCCGTTTTTGGCAGCTGCCACACATCTGCTGTAACATCTGGTTCTGATGTAAAATTCAGACCCTGATCTTTTAAATGTGCTTCAAAATTCTCCTTAAATCAAACACATTTGTACTTAAAATACAACTGAAATCCTGAATGCAGAGACCATTTAGAACTCCTGAATGCTATGACTGAGAACAAGTTCAGTTGAGAGGATAGAAAATGTGACTTGGGAAACCTCCTGGTGATGTGGTTGACTTGGACACCATCCATTGAAACCTGAACTGTATTAAACACTGTTTACTTAAATCCCAGCGATTTCAGTGTGACAGGCATATCTAAATTTTTCTCCGTTTTGCCTTTTCTGGCCTTGAGCAAGTCATGACTCACTCAGCTTCAGTTCCCCATCTATAAAATGTAAAAAAAACCCCCAAACCCATATATATCTCATAGAGTCGTTGTACATAGAGTAAAGAATAACAATAATAAATCTTGTCAAACAATGACTCAGTATTTCATCCCTTCATTAAAGTCAACTTTAATATAAGCTTTTCAGAATGGTGGCTACTCAAGGACAGTGGCAAGATTTTATGTAAGTTTCCTACAAGTAGAAACAAGGTGAATTATGACAACTTCCTTCTCCTGTTGCAGCTCTCCATGCTGCTCAGATTCTCTCCCCATTGGTCAGTTGACCCCTGAGAGGACTGTGAGGGCTAAGTGGTGGTCCACAATAGGAAAGTAAAAATCATCCCCTCTTCCAAAAGTGAAAAATGTAGGTAACTTACAGTAAGGAAAGAGCACATTTTTTACATGTGTATAGTCCCAGATTCAGCGCTTGATATCTCCTAATAAGGGGTCTTGGGTAACAGAAATTGGGAAAGATTTTTCTAGACCTATTACCACGAAGACACACAGTGTGGTGGCCACAGAACGATATGCTTTAGTAGAAAATCATTCCCTAGAGGTTGACTTGGACTCTTAAAGTAAAGGAATTTAGATTTTTTGCACGTCCGTCTTTTCTGTTTTAAAGTATTGCTATGGGGAAAATGAGCCAATTACACTTTGTTATCTTTAAACAATGTAGGCTTCCCTGATATATCAGAATTTAAAAAGGAAGGCTAGATAAGAATAATCAGACATGCTTTATGTACAGTTGACACAACTAGGATTTGTTGCAAGGTCTTTATGGCTTATCTCTCTGGATTTATGGCATTTTTCTCATGGTGGATTTACTCTTCACTGTTTATCTCTGTGTAATGAAGAGCTTAGAAAAATGAAATTGTCAATCAATCTTCTTTTTCAGTGGCCACTGAAGTAGCAGCAATAATGTAGTAAATGCTGCATAGATATGTGGTTTTTTATCCATATTTATTCACAGTTTATTTTGTTAAAGATTTAAAGAATTCTGAGTGGGATGTTTGTCTGGAGAAGGGATGAACATGAACTGGGAAAATGCAGTTTGTTTCACTTCGTGGTTTGTGGTGTGCCTGGTTTGTGAGCCATTAATTGTCATGACGATGAAAGTGTAGTACATCTTTCCTATTGTGGCTTAGTTACTGCAGAGTGTAGAAGCAATTACAAAAAATATTCTAGAATAGACTGACACCTATGACTTGAAGGGAATGCTGGAAGAAATTGCTGGGAGGAATGAAAGATGAGTCTTGTAGATTATTTTATTTTTATTTATTTTATTATTACACTTATATCCCACCCTCCCCGCGAACGGGCTCAGGGCGGCTTACAAATAAGGGCAATGTGTGCCAAATAAAACATTAAAACAGCATAAAATCAACCATATTTAACAATAATAAAGTGCTCAATGATGTTACCAATTTGATCAAGTCAATCGAATCAGATGGTGACCTATAGATGTACCCAAAAGCACGCTTCAGCAGCCCCAACCCCATCGCAATACTGTAGCGAGATCTTTATGCTGGGCCATCCCAGCACCCCGTTGTTGCCACCAAATAGGTGGTGGTGGTGGTAGTGGTGGCTCCTAATTAAAAGCCTGGCGGAAGAGCTCCGTCTTGCAGGCCCTGCGGAACTGTGAGATTGTTTCAGTGTTAAAATGCAATACCAAACATTTCAAAGTTTGAGAGCATAGCATGGTTTAAATATTATGGGACTGGTAAGTATAAATCACTCTATTTGTTGTGGAACACTCTAGACAAGGAAAACAATTGCCGCAGGGTCATACATACAAATGAATGTATTCATGTGGAAAACTATCACCCACCAGTTCTTTCATATTTATTCAAAAATTGTAGACCTTTTTTCTCAACACATCACAGCAGATAAATACTTAAAACGTATCAAAACAATAGAC